GAAAGCTTCAGAAGGGAAATTAGACCTAACATGCACAACTCCAAAGGGTCTGGATGGGACCTGTGGTGAAATTACAAAATAGTATTAGGACAGAGAGAGACTTGAACCATCTTGACCAGGGTTTCTTAACCTTAGTGCTATTGACATTTTGGAATGTATTATTATTTGGCAGGGAGGGTAGAGGTATGTCCTGTGAATTGTAGCATGTTCAGCAGCAGCCTGGCCTCTGCCTACCACATGCCAGTTGTACCTACCCTCCCCACCACAACCAAAAATGTCTCTAGACAAATGTCTCAAGGAGGTGAGGGCAGAATCACCCTGGATTGAAAATCTCTGGTTGAAACCAATACCTGTGTTTTACTAAAGAGAAAAGTGAAACCAAATTGAGAGTAAATGACTTGCCCAGCTAGTTTGTGTTAGAGACAGAAATAAGACCCAGTCTGTCTTCTGTCAGAAGAACTGATCCCAGTTCTTCTCCTTTCCATAAACCAGAAGATGCATCAGGGATCTTTCAGACCTAAGTGTTTTGTCCTCTTCCAGCCTCTTCATTGTTGTAGAAGATCTGCCTGCTGCTATGTTTGCAGAAAAGGGTTAACAAGAATCCCAAGGTCAGATTTTTTCACTGGGATGAAACCCTAGCATGCAATTTGTGAATATAGCAATATAGCATCACTCATAAAAGGAAGAACCTAGGAAGTTGTTTGGAAATTATTTCGATGAGTCTAGACAAGTCTAGCTATTCCTTCTCAAGTAACTGTAATCAGTCTTAACCAAACTCCCTTAATAGATGCTGCAAGTTGCACCAACCAACAGTGTCAAACACCAGAGATGACCAAGCTTAATATCTTCCTGAATACAGCACTGCTCTCCATCTTTGTATTACTCTGGAGCACCTGTTGCAAATCGATGGTCATCGTCATCCCTAACCAGTTCTCATAATAATGAACCTACCATTTATGACTATAATGATCTGAAATTGGTCCCCATCCTGAGCTCTGAAATCTAGTAAGCTAGACTCCTGGCACTGTCATCTCTCAACCGTAACTAAAAGAAAAGGGAAGACAGCAGAAGGCCTGAAGAGCACCCTCCTCATTCCTCCTTTTGGTATTTAGGCTACTCAACCTGTATAACAATGAAAGTAGATAAAATTCCTGCTTAGGCTCCTCATATTTTCAGTGTGAATAAAAAACTTGTGAATTCTTCAGATTGTGATAAAATTATTTTCAATGTGGTGCAAATTCACAGGAGTAAGAGAAAGGGGATTGGGCTAAATATTTACAAAAAAAGAAGACAAAGTTTAAAAATTTAAAATAAGAAATAGAATGTAATAAGATTTTTCTTTGAATACATCCCTGTTATTTAATCTTGTATTTCATCCTACTTTGTATTTTCTAAGGTATGTATAAATAAAATCATCATTTAGAAGCCTAAATCTGACTTGCAAATCTTTGTGACAAGAAAATCCAAACTTCTTAGATTTAACTTTTGTACGAACCCAAAATATACATTCATTCATTTGTTCATACAATAAATATTACTGCAAGCCTACTATGTGCCAGCCACCATTCTAAGCATTAGGATTACAATAGTGAACAAAGTTTTTGCCTTTATGGAGCTTTTATTCTAGTGTGCAGAGACAATGAATAAATAATATATCAGAGAGTAGCAAGGCCATGCAGGGAAATATATCAGAATAAACGATAGAGATTGAGTGCTATTTTAGGTAGGAATATCAGTAAGGGCATAAAGATGAATAACAATGTGAATGTTAACTCTGCTCCAGTCTAATATTTGGCTAGGTCCCACAGAATCTGAGTTGAGAATGACCACTTATTCCATCGTTCTGTAATAACTGCATGCCTTTACCAAATCCCGCAGACACAAATGATTACAGAGGACTCTATTTAAATTGATACCATTAGTATGAAAGCCACTACCTTTTTAGGTGGCTCATTCTATTTTTGTGTGGTTTAATTTGAGGGGAGTTCTCTCATTAAGCAAAAATCTGCCTCCTGCAACTTTTGTGCAACCTATATGTCTAAAATATGGCACCCAAAATATTTCTTTTTCTTCTGGTACTCCATGGAAAGACACTGACTCCTACTTCCAGTCTGACCCTGGTGGAAAGCTTTTCAGGGAGCTCAGAAAAGGAGACAGTATTTTAATTTTATCCCGGGACACTACATTTTAATTTCTGGTCACATGTTAGCCAACCTAGAATTTAAGTTAGCTGGCCTACAATTTAAATAAGAATTTAAAGAAAGGAATTGTTTTCTATTCACATGAGAATTTTGCTTTGCAATTGTCCAGTAGGCATAAGAAAGAGTAGGATTGATGCCTTTTCTACAGTAGCAGCTTGGGAGGCTGCCACCCACAGGTTGAAGCATAGAAAGAGTTATGGGTATTGAGTTCTGCATACTCTAGAGTTGCCATGTGGGATAGAAGCCAAGAGAGGTAGGTATAGCTCTGCCTCCAGATTAGACAACTGCTTTTGATCACTGGTTGTGAGATACAGGCTGAAATGGAGGCCACCTCTCCAGCAAAATCTAAAAGCTGACTTATGATCAGGATATCATCCTGGGTGCAACTTTTCCTAATCGTAGATCCCAGTCAAGGTGTCAACCCATGCCTGCTACAGGTACTTCAGCACAGCATCTCTCTATATGAGCCTGGTCTAGTCTCCCTCCTAGTCTACTGCAGTCTGGAGTTACCCAGGCACCTGGGCAAAAAACTAACATGCAAAGCACCCTTCCCAAGGTTGCCAGGTAGAGGAGCAACAACCAGCAGCAAAATCCCAAGAGGTCCCTCGGCCAACACCAAGGGATTTCTTGAGTGATTCTATATTGCCATATAGAGTCGGATATAAGTTTATTTATATGTGCTAACTTTATTATAGATACAGATATAGCCTTATGGAAACATATATAAGATTATGTAAGATTTCCATTTATTTCCCAGTTCTGTGGCTTGGAGAACTGCATTCATGAAGGGAAATAATATTTTTTAATATATAACTTATTCCCAGATACATAGGCCTAATCTACTGCAGTCCCATTTTTTTTAAAGCAAGTATTTTAAGAAAACAAAAAATATCTTAAAGTACTACTGTTGTAATAATACATTTAATTCAAAGACTGTCAAATACATGTAAGACCCTAGAATCTAAGCACAGAGAAAACTATTGGGTCCTAATGAAACAGAACAAGGGTTAATTGTGCAGTGAAAATTTCTTTATCTCCTATTAAATAAATCTCTTGTAATAATGAACATACCTGAGAACTTGGATTCGAGGAAGGCAGGGATATTGTTTGAGAATTTCCTTTACGTACCTACGATCATAGGATGCCTGAAGCCAATCATGAAAGCTAAAATAATTATTGTGGTCATATTAGACAAGCTGAGTTAAACAAAACAGGAGAGGAAAGCACAGGGTTGGAGCTGAGGGCAGAGGTGACACATTACCCGTCAAGGGTGCAGAGCCAGGCTTCTCCTACCCCTTCTCGTCCACCCCCTCTGCTGCCAGACGCCTTCTTCTCGCCTTGACTTTGCTGTGGCCTTTCTCTTCCTTCTTTTCCTTCATCTTTTTTTTTAGTGTATTATGGGGGTACAAGTGTTAAGGTTACATATACTGCCCATGTCCCCCCTCGAGTAAGAGCTTCAAGCGTGTCCATCTCCCAAATGTTGCACATCTTACTCATTGTGGTTGTCTACACCTATCCCCTCCTCCCCCCTCCCACCCTCCCGACACCTGATAAATGTTACTGCTATATATCCACTTAGGTGTTGATCTGTTAATGTTAGTACATGTGGTGCTGGTTTTTCCATTCTTGAGATACTTCACTTAGTAGAATGGGTTCCAGCTCTATCCAGGAATATACAAGAGGTGCTATACCACCATTGTTTCTTAAAGCTGAGTAGAACTCCATGGTACACATATACCACATTTTATTAATCCACTCATGGATTGATGGGCACTTGGGTTGTTTCCACAGCTTTGCAATTGTGAATTGTGCTGCTATAAACATTCGAGTGCCGGTGTTTTTTCATAAAGTGACTTTTGATCTTTTGGGTAGATGCCCAGTAGTACATGTGATGTTCTGTGCTTCAAATTTTTGCTGCTTCACATTATCTGGGATAGTAATATCCAGCCTGTGTGTTGGCTAGGAGAAGCAAGAGGAAAAGGAGGTAGAAGAGAGGATGCTGGGGAAGACTGACTGAGGAGGGAGGGTGGGTGCTATGCTTGGGCCATTCCCAGGAAAGGGACAGGGGATCTCAGGCCTTGCGCAGTGCAGTCTGGAGCTTCTGTATTTCAATTCTCATCTGTAAGTTTTCACAGAAGGCAAATGCTTATAAGATCATTCAGCTTTGATAAGAAACATCAGCAGCTGGTTTTGTGAACTATTTACTATGTGTATGTTATTGCTACACAACATCATAGATTGTGTGGATTAGTAAATAACATTAGGTTACCTTTGCTATAGTGCATCATTCTTACAGGGCATATATGTTACAACTGCTTGAGCTTAAACCATTAGAGGAAATGTTGGTCTGACAACTCCGACCTTAGCAGTAATTGCCTGGGCTTTAGTAGGGATTATAGTGATACAACATTCCAGAAAGTTATCTACTTGGAAGAAATAGAAGATTCCATGTTTTCTGATTTCTGGGATTTTAATCCACTAAAAAAAAAGAGCTACATCAGGAACCCAAGGTTCTGAGCAGCTCTCTGTCACTACCCAGCTGTTTCATCTTGGACTGTGGCTTCATCCCTCTGGGCCTCACCATCCACTTCTATGAAGTGACTTTTAGCATAAATGTCTATTTTTTGAATATTTCTTATAGTAAGTGAAAACCAAAGTTCTGAGTTGAACATTATAAGTCATGAATAGTGTATAAGGGGATTTGTAAAATATCCTATGTTCTAGGTCTGCCAATTATGGATTCCTGTTTGTGTAAGTGTGAGTTGCTTAGCTAAATAAAAGTATATGTTCTCATTGCAGATAAATAGGATTTCCAGTCCCTGGATGAAGTGCTTGGGAAGTCTTTAAATGCCATTATCAACTGCCATTTCAGAGAAAAGAAAATAGATGGTTTTGGAAAGTTCATGCTGTTTCTTCATTGAATTTTAGGTGAGTGTGTTTAAGACGAAGAATTTAAGATGGACATTGAACTGTTTGCCTTCAAAATGCTTCTCTCCTTTGCATAAAAAGAAAATAAATTAAAATATTATCAATGCCTTTCAGTTTTGCACTTTTAGTGAGATGTCAGACAATGAAAGACTTGGTCTCTGTACTTTGTGTTTATTTCTTGTTATTATTATAAAAAACCCTCTGAACTATGAGGTGTATGGCATATAGATGGCCATGAAATCTCATCCTGGTTTCTATTAAGCAAATGCCATCATACTTCATTCTATTTTAAAGGTTAATTGAATAGAAAATGGATATAGTATCAGAGTAATAAACCAGAATGAGACAAAACCATGTTTTAATGGAATAAACTAAAGGCAAATTTGATGGTGGCAATGGTCATTTAGTCACTAACAAGTCTATGTGTGAGAGGGATACCTTTCCAGATGCTTCCTTTTGGAAGATTTCATATTGCTTAGAATTAAAAGCAGGATATGGTTAAGGTCAGGTGCACTAAAATTTTAAACTGCTATGTACAATTAAGCACACACACTCAAACTCACACACATTAAGCTTTATTTTTCCAGACCATAAAATGGATAAATAAATATATTTCACATCATGATATATAATTGCCTTTCCATGCTGCAAAAGATGAGAGCCTACAAATGGGTGCTTTAATATCAGTCTGGAATATGCCATTGTCATTTTTCAGCAGAACAGAGAGAGGAATGGAGAAATTGAGTGATGGCCATACTGAGGAAATTGTGTGGCTTTCCACTCCTCTTAAGTTCAATTTTCAAAGTGTAGTTTTATTATCTACTCTGAAGAAAGGTGATTTTCACTACATCAGGATATATACCTATATTTACAATTCTGAATAAAATAATGCAACTGACAGAGAGCATTGACCATTATCTGAATCTAGTCTGAAAGGCAGGGATCTTTCTTTATATTCTCATTAATTTTAAAATGAAGGTGAATAATTCTTCCATAACGTTAAGGGTGTATAAATCTGGTTTATTGAGATTGGATGTAGAACTAAAATGGTAATTTTAGTTATTTACAAGTTGTTTGCTGAATGCAGTCCCAGGAGCTAAACTTAGTGCCCATCAAAAATACCAGTAAATCAATTTGCCTGCTGTAACAGTTACTCTAGAAGGGAAAATGAAAATGAAAAATTTATTTTCTGAACCCTTTAATTTCCAATTGTGCCTGTTTTTACCATCATGCCATTCCTTGCCCTGCCCCTTCTCTGTTTGCTCCATACGGACGAACCCCATGGGCTGTGTTTTCCAGCCCCAGCCTTCCCTCCCTGCCACCCCTTGTCTCCAACTTCCCCCAGTGACCTTGAACCCTGAACTTCAGTAACACCACCCCTTCCCTGAGAATATCCCCTGAGAATTGTGAGTGGTAGTGTCTTTGGCTTCCTGTGGCTGCTAATTTTCAGTTTGATTCACTATCCACAGTTTAGCTTCCCAATTCTTCCATCATCTGTGTAACCATTTCTCTGGATCAAATTCTATCATTTTAAATACTTAGAATACATTCTGTTTTCTTACTTGGATCGTAACTACTCCATCAGTGCTGCATTGATTTCTTCCAAAATGTACTGAAAGAAAAATGAACAGGAATTACATGCTTCTCCTTAGGCAAACAAAAGATTTCCATGAAATTGGTAAATGTAAAGTTGAGTCGGGTTTTTTTTTTTCTTTTTCACTTTTAAAAAACATTGAGATATAATACACATCCATAAAAGGTCCCAAGTAAGTGTATATCTCAATAAATTTTCACAAAGTGTATACAACCAGTCAGATCAAGAAGTAGGACATCACCAACGCCCCCAGAAGTCCTACACATGCGACCTTCCAAGGCCCTCCTCTCACAGAAGAAACCATCCTGGCTTATCTGACCAGTGTCTAGTTTTGCCTATTCTAGAACTTCGTCTGATGGAATCATAAATGTGTCTCATAGTACCAGATCATTCTTTTTTCTTTAATTAGCAAACTTTATTTTTAGAGCAATTTTAGGTTGACAGACAAACTGAGCGGAAAGTACAGAGTTTTCAAATATCCCCTCACACACACACACACACAACACACACACACACACACACACACACACAACTTCCCTCACCATCAACATGCCCCAGTAAAGTGGTACATCTGTTACAATCAGTGAACCGACATTGACACATCGTTATCACCCAAAGTCAATAGTTTACATTAGGGCTCACTTTAGGTGCTGTACATTCTATAGGTTTTGACAAACGTAAATTGCCATGTATCCACCACTGTAGTATTGTACAGAATAGTATCACGGCCCTAAAAAATCTTCCCTCCCTTTCCCCAACCCCTGGCAACCATTGATCATTTTACTGTCTTCATAGTTTTACATTTTTCAGAATGTCATATAGTTGGAACCATATAGTATGATTTTCAGATTGGCTTCTTTCACTTAGTGATATATACTAAGTTTCATCTGTGTCTTTTCAAGGCTTGATAGCTCATTTTGTTTTAGTGTTGAATAATATTCCATTGCCTGGATATACCACATTTTATATCTTCACCTACTGAAGGACATTTTGGTTGTTTCAAAGTTTGGGCTATTATGAATAAAGCTGCCATAAATATCTGTGTTCAGGTTTTTGTGTGAACGTAAGTTTTCAGTTCATTTGGGTAAATACCAAGAAGGCATGATTGCTGGATCATATGGTGAGAGTATGTTCAGTTTTGTAAGAAACTGCCAAACTGTCTACAGAAGCAGTTGTACCATTTGGCATTTTCACCAATATGAATGAGTGTCCTCTTGCTGCATATCTTCTCCAGCATTTGGTGTTGTCAGTGTTGTGGAGTTTAGCCATTCTAATAGATGCATACTTGTGATTTTAATTAGCAATTCTCTAATGATGTTGAACATCTTTTCATATGCTTACTTGCCATCTGTATATCTTCTGTGGTGAAGTATCTGTTCAGGCTTTTGATCCACTTTTTAATTGGGTTGTTTTCTTATTGTTGAATTTTAAAAGTTCTTTGTCTATTTTAGCTAACAGTCCCCCATAAGATTATCTTTTACAAATATTTTCTCTAATTTGTGAATTGTCTTCTCATTCTCTTGGAGAGCGGTTTTTTTAACACTCAAAAAATGTTAACTTAGTATATTTAAAACCATATTCTAAGCTATACAGTATTGTAGCATTAATGTGTTGCTGTTAACAAAATCATTGTCAGCTTTCCCATTTTACATATCAAATTAGCAGAAAGACTTTTAAAATTCTCACATAACATTGTGAATATGATTTTTACTTTTTTAATATTCTCATTTCAGAAACTGTGTAAGTACCACATAAAAACTTCTTCTTTGGGTATCAGTCTCATTCTGGCATTCACATTTAAATCTACAGCATCTGATTCATTTATTATTGATCTTTTTACCTACAGTTGAGGGATCTGACCTCTTATTTTTAGTCATGGTTGTTTGCTACTTGAAGATGTCTTATAATCTGAACATTTCCCATTTCCCATAATAATTACTAAATATATTAGAGAACAATGTGATCAGGATGCCACTGTCTGTCTGCCTTACAGTTGAACAATTCACCCTGTCTCAACCATTCCATTCACTCTAAAGAGCTTCCTTGGAATTAAAGTAGCTTTTCATTTAATCATTTTGGTACTTCACTTAGTTATTTTAAATATAAGTGCCTTGCTATTTTCATTTCCCTCTCATTTATTTATGTAGACATTTTCCTTTTCAATCTTTTCTTGGAGGTCATCGCGACTGCTCATTTGTCCATTTTAATGTACTGTCGTTATACTCAGAAGAACATGGTGTCCCTTCTACCAATAATTTTCATCTATTCAACCAATGTTAATGTTGAACCTGCAGTGCTTAATTTAGAATCCTTTCAGACAATGTGCAAATGCCATCATGAGCAGAATTACTTGCACTCTTTCATTAATCCTAAAGTTGGGGGAAACTGGGGATAAGCAACCTTATGATGTGGTTTAAAAGACAGTGAATAACTAAAGTTCCCAAAACAAGTCTTCTCCTTAGTTTGATGTAGCTCTGAAAATTCTAATCATTAATATTTCTCTCCAACTTATGGAAATCAGATTCTATAAAGTTTTATTTTAAAAAAAGCACCCTTGGGAAAAAAAATACAATCCATTAATAATCTATACTACATAACACATAAGTCCAATAAATTAGCAAGGAAGAGACCCCTGAGGCAATGGTACAAACACTCAGCTTTGGAAGGTTTGCTGCACATAAGTGGGAGGAGACTACTGAACTAATCTCACTGACTTCATAATGCTGCATGGTGGGTCAAGGGAAACAGATGGCATCAAAGATAACCCAGGCTGAACAGATCTTAATGTCATCTTGGGGGAGAGGAGTGGAAGAGTGGAAGTATTAGAACTAGGAAGAGTGGAAGTATTAGAACTAACGCTAATGAACAACATTGTAATAGGAGACTTTTAAATCCCTGGTGCCCAAATAGTTCAGGAAAGTGCTTTAACCACGATGTAGTCTGCAGCATTTCTGCTGAGCCACAGCAGATGATGTGAAAAGAATCAAATGTGTTTGGAGGTGGAAATCATGTCTCATGCATCTTTGTATCCATAAAAACTAGCACAGTGCTTGGCACGCTGTAAATACTTTCTACATAAAGGGTGGTGGGTAAGGGTAAAGGCACAATGCAATGCTGGCTAATTCTCACTGAGTTCTTAGTTTATGACAGGTATTGTTCTAGGTACACATACATTCCACGTCATGCTCAAACAGCCCCATGACATAGGCACTATTATCATCTCCTTTTTTAAAGTTTAGGAAACTGGGGTCCAGAGAGGTTAAATAACCTACCCAAGGTTAAGTACTTTAGGGGTCAAAATTAAAATCCAGACAGTCTGGCTCCTGAGCACTTAATTATTATGCTCCACTGCCTCTTGTGTAAAATAATCACAAAATAATTTTAAAACACAGATGTAACATTTTTA